CAGGCTGTAATAACGGCAGCTCTAATTTCACATTAGAATTCCATAGATGTTCCGACATTGTCACAAGCCACAATGTTCGCCGTTAAACCATGCCTCGTTTGAATCCCCAAAGGAGAACTCGACAGTAAGGGCGTTAGACTGGAAGTGTATTGACGTATGTCAACAGTATGCTTTATCAAGACCAGCAAGACATGTACGAGCATATAAAAGCTTGGCCTGGAATCGAACCAATCAGGTAGTGTCCTCATGCGGGTAACAGCTCGACTGGCTTTCTGACTCATCAGACTAGCGGGGTAGTGTCCTAATCCTGGCCACAGCTTGTGCGTTATTATGTACATTGCATGTGAGTGGATCGATAATGTGGCCACGTTAAGAGGCATCTGTTACAGCATGATTCCCAGTCCTCAAGAGGGCAGAGTTATTCCTTCGATTGAAAGCCTTCCAAACTATATTCCTAGCGTGTCGTGATAGATTCAAAGTTGTCAAACTTATTATTGTGGAGAATGCACTGCTGTGACGAGAGAATGGAGCCCTAGTCTCAGCCCCTCGCTGCCTTCTTTGAGAGGAAGTAGACGCGATTTCTTAGACAAGAACTTTATTCGCCTGACGTTTTGGATTCTAGCTTGAATCCATCATCCAAGATAGCATCAGATAGGATACATCGGGCGTTGCAGTATTTATAGTATGCAGTCGCTGTGCAACTGCAAACCTATGAGAATAAATCACGTTCGCCTTCATTGAAGATGTTTACTTTCTGGTGTGCTAATTGCTTGATGGCCGGTGTGAGGGCCTTTATCAAACAACACGCGATTGAATTTGGACGCCGACAGGTTGGACAGCTTCTCCTCAGTAATGGCATCACACGCGAACCTCCAAATCTGGGTTCGCGCGGACTCTGCACGGTCCGATATGCGCTTACGATGAGTCCACCTGACTTCATGTTGATCTAGTCCATTTGCAGCTCAGTCCTTCTTGGAGGACGCTGTGAACACCCTCAGTCCTGAAGGAAACGATGCGATCAGTGGAACGAGAAGTCTATTGGCCTGATGTCTCGGATTCTCCCTCGAACCTGTAATTAGATACCCTTATCCGCGATCGCCTCTGATGATGGGTTCGAACGAGACACCAAAACGTCAAGTCAGCAAACTTCTTGTTCCAGCGATCGCATCTTCTTTTAAAATGCTTCCTGGAACTCGACCGTCGGATCCTAT